TGCACAGTACCTGCTTATTATGGTATAATGGAATGAATGGTGGTATAAGTACAGTGTTTCAAATATTTTTCACAACTGTTAAGTGGCTCAGATAGGAATGTTTTGAATTGAAATGACTAATTAGGATAGAAGTTGGGAAAAGAATGCTCTGTTGGGGTGGGTGTGGGGTCACACTGCCCACTTATCCCGAGTTTTATTTAATAAGCATTTCTGCTCTTTTGCTGGGCATTCCCTGATCTCTTAAGTAAGAACAATTCATTTCACATGCAGAATTTCCTTACAGGTATTTTCCAGATGAGAAAACAGTTGCAAAGACACAGATAACTTGCTATAGGCCAGGGGACACTGCTTCTGCCCATCCACCTGTTTCCTAACTCCTGCACTGCATCTGCAATGCCAGTGGTATCCGCGAAGACTTTCTGATTTCAGCAGAGCAGGGTGGTGTGTCCTTCCTTCTTCCCCGCGGCTGTGGTCAGGAGACCCCAGTCCTGGGCCAACCCACTGAACCCCTTGGCTCGATGTATGCAGGTTTTGTGGGCAGCACTGGGGACACTGCACATTCCCAGAGGTGTCCCCTGTATGCACCCCATTTGTCAGCTGTGTGCTGCCTGGGAGAAGGAGCAGGAAGAAGGATGGATGTCCAGAAAGATCGGTGTGCACTGATGTTTCCGTTGAACTTAGAAAACTCAGTGGAGGAACAATGTGGAGAGTTAATTCTGTGATGTGGTGTTCGCAAAACAAATGAACCCGGGGCGTGCTCCCCTTTCCTGGACCCTTGAGAGTCTGGCTGTGACTCTAAGTTGACTTTCTGATCCTTGGGACCCTTCCCGACACTTACATTAAGATACAGGTGGGAAAGATACAGGTGAGAGCTGACTTCACTATGCTGCCTACTTTTGTGTGGCTCTTAACCTAAGAATGATTTTTATATTCAGTCCTTAAGGGAAATGCTATTCCCCCCAAAATTGTTTTCTTCTCCTTAAATAAATTACCTTTTGAAGATTGTATTTAGTTTTTATTAATGTTTTCAGGTTAATAAGGTTGTGAAAGTGAGTTTGTTATATAGGTACTTATGTAATATCTCTGATTTTGCCTCTTGGGCTACAAAACCTAAAATATTTACTCTTCAGTGCTTTGCCGAAAATGTTCGCTAAGCTCTGGTTTAAGACATGGAATGAGCTGGCCTGGAACTCTCTGGAGCTTTCTCTCAGCCAAGTGCTTCCTCTCATAAACCAGGGCTTACAATGGCCCGGGAGCTGGGTTAACCTATGTGTGCTGCAGATTGCAATTTTTAAAATTTCTGCATGAAAATCATATACATTACCTAGGAAAATGCAAAGAAAAAGCATTTGAAGAAAACAGTTCTATTATGCTCCTCTGTTGGGGATGTTCCAAAAGTGGAGCTCTAGGCGGCAGTGAAGGCTTAGGGCGCTTATGTCTGTTAACTTCTTATCACAGCAGCCCTGATGCTCTTGTAGCTCCTCATCAAGGAAATAGCTCAGAGATGGGAAGCCTCGGGCTGATGTCACACAGCGGCGCAGCAGCAGTTGGTTCCAAAGGCCGTGCTGGGCTCTAACCTAAGCACTGCTCGTCCAGGAGAAAGGAAAAGATGTAGGTCCAGATCGTTAGAGGAAGTATGTGGTAGGACCATGGTGGCTCAGAGGAACAGTAGTGATAAAATTAAGAATAGTGCCGATCGCCTGTGAGGTGTTCCCACGTTCCATCTTCACCGCACCCAGCAAGGCGTCGTGCTCTGCTGGTGCTCACAGCAGCGAACCTGCCATGGCTGGGATTTGAACCCTCAAAGGCTGAGCATCTGCTCTCCTTACAGAGCCCTGATGGGAATGGAGTCGAGGGGCTGGTGAGGGCAGCTGTTAAATGAGAGGGTGTCCTGCCTTCCAGGAGCACTGTTTCCGGGCCTCAGAGAATTCCACTCAAGCTTCCGTATTCTCCTGGAGTTTCAGCTTCGGCTCTGTAACCTTCCCCACTCTTCCATTTCCCCAGCCCTGAAGTTCAGGAACTGGACCAAATGGTGGTTTTCAGAGACCCTCAGGACCGGGTCTCAGCTTCAGCCCTGTGGCCCGGGCTTCTAGCTGCCTGAGTTGCTAGGCTCCTGGTTGGGCCTCTGTTTGAAGAAATGGGTCCTGGTTCTTCTAAAGCCGCTGAGCCGTAGTGGCCTAAGGCCCTTACAGATGGAGGAGTCCTGAGACCCACGGCCGGGATCGAGGAGGGGGAGCCACAGTGATGCCAGGCCCTCCATGACCCCCAGCTAGGTCTCACCTCCTGACGGTGAAAGCCAGAGCCTGCCTCTGGAGCCCGGTGGCCAAGGACAGAGCAGCCTTTCTGGACTGCCCTCAAAGTTCCCATTGAAGCCTGCCAAGCCCAGGAGCCCATCCTGAACTTCCAAGTCCTGCTGCTGCTGGGGAAGTTGGTACTTTGTTTCTTTGTTTCTTTGTTTGTTTGTTTGTTGAAATAGGGTCTCCCTTCGTAGTGCAGGCTGACCTTGAACTCTTATGTAGACCAGGCTGGCCTTGAACTCATGGCAGTCTTCCTGCCTCAGCCTCCTGGGTGCTGGGATCACAGGCATGTGCCACCATGCCTGGCTAGTTGGTACTTTAGACAGGGCTTTGCAGGGCTTGTCTGGTGGCTTCCTGGTGGCACACATGGGATGCCTTCCAGCACCCTAACTCCGGATGAGCCACTAGGGGAAACTGCAGGGTTTTCTGATGGTTCGGTTTGTGGTATTTGGGCTTTGTGTTGGCTGTTTACAGAGCTCAGAAAGCCCAGAGGCAGCAAGCAAGGGCCAAAATGTTTCCTTTTCCTGGCAGCCCATTCCCAGCCAGGCACCCTTGCAAAGATTACCCCAGTCATCAGGCTGCTGATAACCACGGGTAATGAAAGCCCAGGCTGCCAGCAGGCAGAGGGGAAGCTTTGCTGCTCCCGGCCTACTTGTCCAACAGAAACTGCCTCTCTGTTCTGATTACACAACCCCATGATTTGAAGACTGGGACTTATTAATACCTAATTTCTCCTTTGGAAAAAAGAAAATCAACTTTGGCTTTCGAGCCTTAGAATAACTGCCCTTACTCCTGCTGCCTCTTGACCTTTGCTGCATTTGGTAACCTCGGTGTGTCTTGGCTTCCACATCTGTAAAGCTGGCCATGCAAAGTAGACCAGTGGAGGTGGGAGGGCACAGTGACGTGAGGCGGAAGGCTGGTTTTGTATTCCACCTCTGTCCATGGGATCATAATAGCACACACTTTGTGGAGTCAGGATCCAGTAAGTTGACATTCTAAAGCTCGTCCAGTTTGACCTGGCACAGTAGTTAGTGCTGTTTAGATGTTTATAGCGTCTGACTAGAACAATGCCTGGTATATAGTGAAGCCCGAATAAGCATGAGTCTTACTCAACTGTGCTCTTCCAGAAGAAAATTATAATTTTATCCATTCTAGTAGTTGATTTCCACTGGGCTCTTACATTATCTTCTGGTTACTAAGATCTTCACAGTCGAGGAGTAGATTTGTCCAGTGCTTGCCTTGTTGATCTGTCGGAAAGATAAAGAGGGAGGTGATAAGAAGCCCGGAAAGTATTTCCTTGGGCACAGGTTGTCTGTGCTATTGATTTAGAGCCTGAGGGCCATGGTGAAAGCCATTCAGGAGCCAGAGCACGAATACCGTGGGCTGGACTCTTACAGTGTTAGTACATCTTTTTTTTTTTTGGTACCGGGGATCGAACTCGGGTCCTTGCATTTGCATAGTGTTAGTACATCTTAAACAGGGAGGAAAGAGTCTCAGATCTAAAGTGGGGGCCACTTCTCTGGCTTGTGTAGGGAGCTGGGTGATCTACTGGACCTCCTGGGGCCAGGACACTAATCTTTTCGACTGCACCGTCGCCATCTGCCTCAAGATCTTTGCATTTGCTGTTCCCACTACCTAAAATGATCTTCCTTGCTGTCTTGGTATTAACCATTCAGTTTTTGTCCCATTAACTTTAGCTTCTGTAGTCAGAACTCTGCCATTCCTAGCACCAAGAAACCTGGTTTCATATCTCTTAAGAGCTGTGTGACCTCAGGCAGCCACTAACCCACGTTGTGTCTTTCTTTCCTCTTCTGCTTATTAAGCGTTACCATTGTTGAGTCTTAGTTTAAATATCATTTCTTCTGTTGAAGCACAGACATCTCCATTTTGGTTTAAAAGAAGCCTGTTTCTGGGGCATTTTTATATTAATTTATTAAGATCCTGAGGACAGAGCCCAGGACCTCATGCATGCTAGGCAAGTGCTCTGCTGCTGAGCTTACCTCTCCAGACCTTTGTGAATTTTATTTTGAGACAAGGCCTTGCTAAGTTGCCCAGTATGAGCTTGCAAACTTTCCACCTCAGCCTCCCGCAGTTGGGATTACAGGCAGGTGCCACCACACTTGGCTCCGGTGGTCATTTTTAGGTTCAGCGTGGTCCCCTGGTTAGGTCTTACTTTGTTCTTTGAAACCTCAGGTGCAGTCACACCGAAGCATAGCCAGCTTTGGGATTGCATGTCTTTGTTGGCTTATGGTTTTGTTTTCATAGTGACTGCCTCATTGTGACCCAGAGTTTGTTCTGCTGGTTATCAGTCCAGAGTTATTAGATGGAGGAGGGTTCTGGGCTGAGACATGGGGAAGGCTGGGTTGCTCAAGGCCTTCCTTGTGTCTTTTCTGCAGAGATGATACTATGCTACACTGTTTTGTTGAATTTTCTGGGGTGTGAAGCTACTGTCACATTGCTCACTATTGTTACATTGCTCACTATTGTTCAGCATGAAACCTGGTCTTTAAAAGGATGGAGTGTGGTGCTGGTGTCCTCGGGGCACACCCTGAGAAGTACTACCTGATTTTCCGAGCCTCTGCCACCACCACCACATACTACGTGCCAGTACGTGCACAAACAAGGCTGGCGGTGTGGTGACAATGTGTCTGCAGCGCAGTGTGACTTACAGTGTGCTCTTTTTATCCCACTCTCCCCAAACAGAGAAGGAGACCTTCTTGGACCCTTTCGTCCTCCGGGACCTCCTGCCTGCGTCCCTGGGCAGCTATTATCGCTACACAGGCTCCTTGACCACCCCTCCGTGCAGTGAAATTGTGGAGTGGATCGTCTTCCAGAAGCCCGTGCCTATCTCTTACCACCAGGTACAGCCCCCGCCACCCGGCCCGCTCCCTGTCTCCTGGCTGTGTGTTGACTTAACTCTGAAGCACAGCAGGAAAGGTTTTGCTTTGTTTTTTAATTCTCCACTCTTCATTGATTTCTTCCTTCTTTCCAACAAGCATGTTTTTGAATGCAAAAATAGTAAAATATAAAATATGGATTCTAAGCTAAAAATTAACTAGCAGAGGGGAATTTCAGGCATGAAATGAGGCATTGCCGAAAGACTGTTTTGAAGAGGTGGTAGGTGCCACCCATAATGACATCTTACACCAGAGACTCTTCTGAGCTCTTTGAATGTGCCAGCCCGTTTACACCCACGGACTGCAGACTCATGAGGGAGGTACTCTCTGCACCCCATTCCATGGAGAACACCAAGAGTCGAGGAAGGAAAGTAATTTTCCCACGGTCACACTGCGGGTAACCAAGCTATGGTGTCTGATTGAAAAAAGAATTATTCTCATAACACTGAGCCCACCCGTCATAGCTCAGAAAGAAGAGAGGTTTGAAAACACAAGGAGATGAAATTAAACATGCCGCTTTTTGAGCTCTTCCTGAATGACGACACTTTTCTAAGTACTTCACATATGTCCACCTAAAACAGTTGCGAGATGATGTTATGACGATGTGGCCCACACAGAACAACGCCATCCAGAGAGGTTGAGTAGCATGCCCCGGATTCACAGCTAAAGAGCGAGAAAGCCGGAAGCCAAGTCTGGCTGTATCTGATTGTAAAACCCAGGAGTTCCCGACCAGCTGTACTATTCTGCTTTCTCTGGGAGTGCCCTGAACAAATCTAGAAAGGCAGAATTCAGACTGAGCAGTTACTTGTGGGTAGAAGTTGATGGGGCATTGTCAGAGGAAAGGGAACTGCCAGGGAGCGAGGAGCCTTTACATCACCTCAGGAGGATCAACAAATAGAAAGGGAAAATTCTTAGAAAGAACATATTAATTGTCAAAACTTCAGCATGCACTGAGTTAGACAAAGAATGAGATGTCTTTTGCATAATTCTCAAAAATAGGGCTGGGAACAATGGTAGGCTCTGTAAGAAAGTGAACTTGAGCTACTCATCAGGACTATCAAAAAACGGGACGTTCAGAGCCGGGGATTTAGCTCATTGGTTTCGCCGCCTGCTGCGCAAGCGCAAGGACCCAAGTTTGATCCCCAGCGGTACCAAAAAAAAAAAGGAAAGTTCTTGTCTTGGGCCTCTTGGCAGTGCCCTCACGCCCCCATCCCACCAGCTTCACAACTAAGGGTAGCAGTGCTCTAGAGGGAGGGAGGAGATTGTAGAATGAGGTGATAGTGCCAGTAGTGTAACTAAGGTGCTGGCAACAAGCTTTTGAGCCTGGCTGGCATGGGGAATAGTCCAAGATTTTCCCAACCGGAACAGAGGGGATGGAATAGGGAGTGGGGAAGGGCTGGTGTTCCGGTCAGGTCGTTTCTGAATATAAGAAACTGACTTACAGCAGCTCACATAGAAGGGAGTATTGTAAAGGAGCAACAGTAAGGGGTTTCTGAGGTGAAGCCAGCTGCGTCTTGTCCCAAGCAGGACTGGAACTAGAAAGTGAAGCACATGTTTTTCTCTCTGTCTTGCAGGGCCCATAATGCTTGGTCTTTCTGATGTAGCTTCAGGATCAGTTCTGTGCTTCTGCAAAATTCTGGTCCCTGGTTCCTCTTGGCTTGCTTTCTGTTGGTTCCTGACCCGATATGGTTGCTCTGGCACCTGTTGATCTTTAAAGCAAAGGGCTGCTTACCACCCGACACAGTCTGGGTCTAAAGTTGGGGGGTTTTTTGGGTACCGGGGATCAAACTTGGGACCTTGTACTTTTGAGGCTGGCAGCAGAACCACTGAGCTAAATCCCCAGCCTAAGGTTGGGTTTGTAAGAATATAGTTCTGAGTAGACATTGGCCACCTACCTTCTCAGCTGGCCGTGCGTCATGGTCTGTCCTTGAATAAGTCGTCCAAGGTTCCTGATAGTGTCCACGACACCCAGGGTTGGCTTTCTGGGGTGAGCAGAGCAGCAGGTTCTTTCTCAGGCTGCAGGGGAGGGGCAGTGGTCAGTGTGGCCCAGGTCAAACTGATTTATGTGGCCTCAGTGCTGTTGGCAGACACTCTGAGATACTGCTTTTCCTTTTAATTTCACTCTGACCGAACAAAAGGGAAGGACTGGCAATTTGGTTTCTGAACAGGATCTGCCAGCCATAAGCAGATAATGAAATAAACAAATTTTCTTTCTAATGTTGAAGCCAACATTGTTTTATAAAAGACAAAATTACAGTCGAAGTACTTATTTCTGCAAGGCTGAGGGAAGAATTTTTTTAAGGGACCCATTTTGTCACTTAAATAAATGCTTTTTGTCTTCAAAGATTTAAAGATTTGAGATAATGAAATTAAATACAGGTTTGTCCACTCTTTTTTGTAGGATTCCAGGTACAGGAAGAGGCAGAGGGTGGCAGTCAGTTTGCTAGGGACAGTTGAGGATCAGTAACACAGCTGAGTGTTCCTGCAGCCCCAGAAAATCAGCGCCTGAATGGAAGACACAGTTTGGGGCTTGGATGTCTGCTCAAGTGTTTGTCACTCAGAAGCATTTGGCATTTGGTAACCAGAGCCTCAGGGAGTGCTTGGTCCCTGTTTCCCCATTCTCTCTACTTCTGGGACACTAAGGGAAAGAAATAAAGGACGCATTTGCTTTGCCTTCCAATACTTGACCTCTCTGAATTATATTTCAGGGAAACAGAAGAAATAAATTCATCCTATTTGCCTTCCAGTTTCTTTACAACGAGCTGTCTTTGGATAATCTTTGCTTTTATCGGATATCTCTCTGTACTTCCCTGTCCCTCTTCCAGGGGAGGAAGATAGCTCCCATTCATGTGGCTGGAGGGATCCCTGCCTCCGAGCTCTGTGGAGGTCACAGCTGTGTCAGCCCTTAGAAGAGAAAGCCATCCAAGGGTCATCATCGCAGACCTCCCAGCCGCACGCACCCTGCCAGCATTCTTTTTGAAAGTTAGCACAGAATGTTCATTTCCAAAAGTCCAACAGCCAGTTTGGAAAAGCCAAGTAGTTAGGAATTCCATATCTGCTTCCATCAGAAAGAAGATATTCCAAGTCTTTCCCTCTTCTACTTTTCCAAAGCCCCCATCTGCTCGCCTCTCCCTAACCTGGTGTGGGTGCCTGGACGCAGCACAGACCGTGAGTCACAGCAGTCGGCACAAGCTGTTGGGGCTTGGGATGCAGATTTCTGGAGCAACCACTATTTTCCCTCTTCTATCCGCTTATTAGTCCACCTGTCCAGCTAGGTGTCTAGGCAGAGCGGCCCTGGTGGTGCTGGATGTGCCTGTGGCCCGTGTGATGATCTAGATGAAGTATGGTGCTGCCAGTGGACTCGTCACAGAAGATGCTGTGGTCCACGGCTCCGCTAACCATCTCCCCTGCGTGCTGGCAGCAGTCAGGCCATGGCCTGGGCACCCGCTCATGGGCAGCACGCGGTCTTGGTGTGGGCAGTGAGAGGTGCAGAACCAGTGAAGGAGATGCTGTCTTGAGCGTGTTCACAGCCCTCCGAGCAGGGTGATCCTGAAGTCCGGTGTACTGGGGTCTGTTCTGTTCGAGAGCAGGTTTCTCAAACGATGTTTTCTGCCCATGGGCATCTATCCCAGTGCCCCTTTGTCAGCACTGCTGCCTCCTATAGGTTAAAATATGATGCCTGTCATTTTCTCAAGCATGAATTTTATTTAAGTGCTTCTTGAGGGTGCTATTAAAAAGGCAGTGAATAAGCCAGGCATGGTGGTACATGTCTTTAATCCCAGCACTCTGGGAGGCTGAGGCAGGAACATCACAAGTTCAAGCCCAGCTTGGGCAGCTTCACAACATAGTGAGACCTTGTCTCAAAATAAAAATAAGTGTCTAATTTGTTTGCCTCTGGATGTTGAAATTTTTTTTTTTTTTTGGGCAGGCAGGTGGCTAACAGTAAACTGAAATGGATAGAAAAGGTATCTGCACAACGCTTTTCGAGCTAAAGTTACCTCTTTGCATAAAGACTAGAGCACCTTTGGCATTAAGCTCATGTGCTTAGGAGGCAAACTGCCCAGGTTCCATTCTTGGCTCCGTACATTGGCCAAAAGCTAAACTACTCTGCTACTTAGTGCCTCCGTCTTCCCATCTGTAAAATGGTCACGGCTGAGGCACCGTAGGGCTTAAATGAAAAGATGTCCCTGAAATGCCTAGACCTAGTGCTTGGCACAGGAGAATGTGCTTGGAAAATAATTAGAGGGTTTTTGTTGCTGCTATTAAATGTGTGGCAGTCCTGTAAGGCAGTGCTGTCCAGTGGAAATAAGACAGTCCACAAGCATCATTTTATATTTTCTACTAGTCACATAGGAAAAAGTGTAAAGAGCAAGAAGTGAAGTGAATTTAGATGAGATGGCTTCGTATATCCAAAATACTCTCTTTTCCATGGAAGCTAGCCCCATTTCTAGAGGAATAGCCACATGCGGCTGCTGGCTGTCACAACTCTAAGGTGTATCTCAAGGCTGTGACAACAAGTGAGACACTTATTCTCATCCAACACTGTACGGTGTGCAGTGCATGCGACAGACACCATTCCTGGTGGGTAAGATGCCATCATCTACCCAAGAGAGCACGCTTTCCTCATTGACTGTGATGCAGAGCTTTGCTTTGCAGGAGGGCCCGGGTGCTCCATTAGTTAGCTATTCTCAGATTTCATCTCTGCAGCTATAGTTAGTAGTAAACTTGGGACGGGATGCTCCAGGCTGTTGGGAACTTAATATTCCATCCTGTCTAGTTTAATGATGAAGTGACAAAACCGGGCCTACCCTGTTGCCTGTCAAAAGTACAGTGAAACAGAAGTGTCTCCGTGACCTTAGGTGAGACACAGTGCCCAGTGCTTATTGTTGGGTTGGTTATTGTGCTAATAGTGGACTCCGGTTTTGTTTAATTGCCCCTACATGTCCATCCCTTAAAACACTGCGTGTATCAGCCTTTCAGGGGCTCATAATTCTGTCTCTTTTGCTTTCCTCTCACTTCCCCCTTCAGCCACACGATCCCTCCTCACATCTTGGGGACAAAGCGTTCGCTGCACAGGACTGGCGTGAATAGATTTCAGCTCTCCTTTGATTCCAGCCAACAGATTAAAAACTAATTATTCTCTGTAATACTTTTATAATAAAAACTAAGTTGAAATGATTTATATACACTTCCAGCTAACACATTTGCAATTCAAGGTTAAAATGGTTCTTGAAACAGCACTAGTTAAAATGCAATTACAACTCCCCAAGCAGGAATAAAAAGAAAGAAATGTTTTACACATTCACTTCAAAAGTTTAAAAGTCAATTTCATATTATAGAAATAAAAACTTTCATTTATTTTTACTAAATGATAAAGACTTCATTAGTTCTATTAAAGTAAAGCTAGATCCCAGTGTGTTTATTACCTGCCTATGGAAAGGCTCAGGCAGCTGGAGCCGGGCTCTGGGGGTGCGGAGTGCTTTTCCGTGGGGCAGCAGCGTGTTCACGCAGCCTGCTTCTTCCTGGGCCGGCCCATCGGGGTTGAATTCATGTTCCCCGCACCAGAGTCCCTGCCTGGGATGGCCGCGGCCAGCGAAAGGGAGCTGTGTGGGTCTTGTGTGACCACAGCTAATTTCCCCATGGGGTGCTTCTCATGCAGGGAGTCTTGCTGGGGAGTCGCACCTGTGGCTCAGGGTGCTTGAGAGTATGACAGACATCTCACAGACTGCGCTTCTAATCCTCACCTTCCCTGTGGGTTCCTGTGTGAGCTCAGGCAAATCACCTAATGTCTCCAAGCCTGGTTCTCTTATCAGTCAATAATATTAATACCACCAGTGACAGTAATGCCACCAGCCTCCTAGAATTTCTGTGGTGACCAAGTAACGGACAGTACATACTGCTTCGTACACAGCACCTTGCACATAGTAGGTGCTCGATAAACATGAGCTACTACTGCTAATGTTATTATAATGATATTGTTAATAATGTTACTTTAATGTCATTGTTTGAAGCTAAAAAGAAGTTAGAAACCAAAATAATGCTTGCAAAGTGCTTGACAAATATCTGGCACAATAACAGACTTGATAAATAATAGTAGCAAGAAAAAAAAGAAGAGAAAAGCACATACAGGACTTTATGGGGCTGTATGTGTAGAGAACAGTCATAGTTACCACATTCCTCAAAAATTAATAACAGCAATACTGATGGTAATATTGGATGAGCACGCTGTGTGCCAGGAATGATTCCAAATGTTTTATATAAGAGACTCATTGAATACTAAAACCCTACAAAGTAGACGTAATGTTGTCTTTGTCACACAGATAAGGACAGTGAAGCACAGAAGGATTAAATAAGGGGACATTTCCCAAGGTGGGTTTCAAGACAGAATGTGGAACCTTAGGTAGCAAGAGTAAGTTCTGGAGTTGGAGATGTTGACGCAGGCTAGACCAGTAAGGGCCCTTGGTGAAGAGTGGGAGACTTGGAAACAGTGAGAAGCAAGTGTGGTGTGATCTTGTTTCCCTTTTAAAGGAGCAGCGTGCCTCTCTCAGCCAGATCCCGAAGGGTGAGGCAGGTCCAACACCAAACGCGTGGACGGGTCAGAGGCCAGGGAAGCGCAGCTCGCGTGGTCTGTCTCTGGCCCCAGAGTCACACACGGGGCTCAGAGGCCATCAGTGGACTTCCTGTGTGGGTGACTGCTGCTCCCTGCCAGGGTGAGGACTGTCGCTTTCTATCCACCCAAGAGCCACCGATGGCCAATCATGCCCGTTACCAAAGAGACAGCGGAGTGATGGGCTTTTAGTGAATGCTGGCCACCTGCCCAGGGCATCTGCTAAGTCTGCTCGGCTTGCCCTCCTTGCTGAACTGTAGTGTGTGACTATCAAGCGAAGCTATGATGCAGTTGGCAATAAAATATCACTCGGGTCGTCAGTTCGCCCTCAGAGCCACCTCGTCCGCTCTTCAGCATCTGTGGGCAAGTTGAGTTACTGACCAGACCAGCGCTTTCAAGTCACAGCATGTCATTAAGCTGTAAGAGCAATTGACGCAAAGGCATTTTTGTGTTAAATTCAGAACCTGCCTCTTTGTACAGTTATATGACTAATTCTTTCCTGAGGCATCAGAAGCAAACTTTGTAGGAGAACTGAACGCTGGCTGTGAAAGATGCAAGTTTTCTAAAGAATAAACAAACGTAGGGGTCGTACTGCCCAGACAGCCTCCAGCACTGTTCTCCATTCATCTATTTTGGGACAGACTGCTGTCTCTTCTAGAAAGTTTCTGGTCCAACTCACTATGTATGGCAGCCCAGTCCACCTTTTGAAAAAGACCCTGAAAGTTAAGGGAATTCACCCTTTATTTTACTCACAACTCTACGGCTTTAATTTAAGCCAGTTTCCTTTTATGTGGCCTTTTCTAGACATAGAGAAGAGCTGGTCAGCATCTTCCACATACGTGGCCTTTAATCAAATTCCTCCTTACCTGTCCTTCTCCAGACTAAACAGTTCCGCTTCCTTTCACCTTTCCTCTTGGGATTGGTTTACCATCCTTGAAATCATTTTCCCTGGTCCTGCCTAGACCAACTCCAGAGGGTTTTTGTCAATTCCTTTCATATACTCTTAGGAAATGATTTTCTCTAAACAGAAACCTGTCCTCATGGTTTGAGGCATGTAGTTTGATTTTGGTAATTTTGTCAAGTGAGTCACATAACAGGGTTGAATTGATTTTTCAACACCTTACTTGTCTTCTTCTAAGTGGCTAATATCTGGATGAGTAAACAGCTCAGTTTTCTTAATTTTTCTGTCATTTATTACTTGCTCTCTTATAAATAAAGAAGGAAGAGTGGGGAGGACGGTTCCTTTGGCTCCCAGGCCAGGTAAAAGACCATCCTGATGGAGTGACCTAATGAGAAGGTGGACTGGCCTTCTTCGTGGCTTATTAACACTGTACAAGCAGTAGAATAAGGGAGAAGGTAGAACGATAGGTGATTGCTTTTGGCTAAAATCCCTCTGTGAATCCATTGCTTTCTCATGCAAAAAAAGAGTTTCTAGTTGTTAGCAGCAGGCGTTTTCTGGGTCACCCTCACAGGCTGGTGGAGAAACAGTAGTGTTGGCTCCAGGCTTTAAAATGACCGTGGAGAGTGGGCTGAGTCCATAGTGTTTCTTTCGTTAATCTTCTATTTTATGCAATCTATTAGTGTTCCTCTGGCCCCCTGCACACCTGCTTGGAGAGCCACTCAGCCTACTGGGCTGTGGCTGGCCATGCCATTCGGCCTGGCCCTGCAGGAATGGAGGGGCACAGGGGCACGAGCAGCTCCCCTGGGTTCTCTGTTCTTCGCTCCAGAGTCTGTTCCCGCCCGGAGGAGGCGACACTGCTGGTGACTGGGCATTTCCGATTCGGGCCATTTCGTTGGTGAGGAGGATCCCTTTGTGGTCTGATGAGAATGCGTCTGTGAGGACTCATCCCAGTTCTGTCCCTCATGCACAGTGCGGGGCCCATTCTTAATGATCAGGGTGTGGGGCCACAAAGGACCCCTTTTGATAATAGAAATAAGATCCTGGAGCTCTGATTGTTTATTTCATTGCCTTCCCCAAAGTTTCGACAGCACTTTGGTGGCTGATGTTATTTAATAATAATGATAGCAAATTTCTATGGGAGGCTTGCATAGGTTTATCTTTTCAGGAAACTTTAAAGGTAGGTTCGGTTTTTGTTTTGTTTTGTTATTTTGGTATTGGAGATCGAACTCAGGACCTTGCACTTGCCAGGCAGGCGGGGGAACCACTGAGCTAAATCCCCATGCTGGATAGGTTCTGCTATTACGGATGTTTCACAGGTGAGGAAATTTAAGCTTCAGAAAGCTTGAATGGTTTGTCCCTAGCCAGCCATGTGCTAAGTGGTGAACCTGGGCAGTTTAACTTATGCACGCATGTAGCATTTATTGACTTGGTTACTTGGGTAACTTGGCCCAAGTTTTGTCAGAATAGGCTTATTAGTAAGGTTTAAATCACTGATACTGAGGTCCTATGGTATGCCAGGAACTGTTTTCAGGGCAGTACATAGTTTATAAGTGTTTCGTCAAGACGTCGTGTTAACCAGACTCCTGTGAGGTAAGTACTGTCCATCATATCATCATTTTCCTGAGAACATGGGACACTCGGGGAGGTTAGGCAACTTGCTCTGGGTCCTAGAATAGGTGTGTGATGGAGCAGGGCTCACACCCAGGTAGTCTGACTGCTGGACCCACCAGCTCCGCCGCGGCTCTGTGCTCCTGCCCTGAACGCTAAAGCTCTGCCGGGGGAACATAGCAGAAAGCGTCTGCCCCTGGGCCTCCTGCCGCTTCATGCTTTTGTCACCTCTACTGCTTTGGGTCACACAGCTTTCTAATTGATGTGGGTCTTTTTCTCCCCTCTCTGGTTTTCTGTTTAGCTCGAGGCTTTTTATTCCATCTTCACCACGGAGCAGCAAGACCACGTCAAGTCAGTGGAGTATCTGAGAAATAACTTTCGGCCGCAGCAGGCTCTGAATGACAGGGTGGTGTCTAAGTCCGCGGTCCGTGACGCCTGGAGCCACGACATGGCAGACTTCTTAGAAAACCCACTGGGGACAGAAGCCTCGAAAGGTAAGTTTGGATTAAGTGCCCTGGCCCGGAGGAAGATTCCTTAGGATAAATTACTTTAAACTGAAAGGAGTTCAAAGCCAGCCAAGAATTAGAACTTGGTGGTAAGAGCATATGTCGCTCTGCTAGGAGAAGCTTGTCTGGGTGATAAATAGACGCAGTTGTGGGAATAACTTTGATTAAATAGATATGTTAAAAATTGCCCTTTTGACTAGGAATAGATCAGTCATTTTGTCTGTATTTTTCCCTTGTACTTCAAAACTAATTAGCAATGTCTAATGGAAACTTTTTGGAGATCGTCTTCCTTTTTAACCATTTCCCTGTTGCCATCAGGACCTTTCCTGAGCGTAAACATCAGGGCCCTGACCTGCTCCCCCACCCAGTGCTTAGCATTCCTGCTCACGTGCACACCCAGCAAGGACTCCAGGGCCTGCTCTGCACACCTCCTGCGAGTTCCTTGCATCTTAAACTGTGTAACAGTTTGATTCCCATATCTGATAAGCATGAGTTTACCATTTTCAGGCATCTTAATCTTTTCCACTTCAGCTTTCTCATGGGAAATGAACATGAATTTCTGTCCCAGGAAGCCAGGGAGTCTGATTCTCCCTGACCCCCTTGCTTCTCAGGCTCCAGGGTTTGTCAGAGGTAGGCAAGCAGCTTGACAGATACTTGGCGGGCCAAGGTGGGTCAGAGTTCTACTACTTGGAAGGGAGGAAGGAAAAAGAAGGAGTTTTCTTATGATGTACAGAGATGGGCACTCCTCAACCCAGGGTTCTCCTTTGGAAGTGAGCTTGGTGACGTGGGAATGTTCAAGTCACCACGTCACAGTGGAATGACACTATGTCAGTAGCATCATTTGGGCTGGGTATGGTGCTGCACAGCTATAATCCTCGCACTTGGGAGGCTGAGGCAGGAAGATTGCTTTGAGTTCAAGGCCAGCCTGGATTCCATAGTGAGTTCCAGTCCAGCCTGGACTACGTAGCAAGACCTTGTCTCAAAAACCAAACAACAAAAATAGCATCCTTCCCTGAGAACAATGGGGAGAACTAAGCTCAGAAACCTGTGAATTATCTTAGTTCAGGCCAACATAGAAAACCTCACTTGGGCTCATTTTTTTGAAACTTAGCTAAAAATAAAGAAAATAATAAAACTCACAGGTTCCTTCCTAAGAGAACGTGGTGGAGAAAAGCGGGACTCCTGGGAATTCGCTGCTTTGTGAGGTGTCTATGCAGAATGCATGCAGGGGTGAGGAATGCACATCCCAAGTCAGCACAAGACCTGATAGCTTGGGGTTGCTGAGATCTTGGCAGCTGTGCAGCTCTTGCCCAAAACGTGGGCTGAGCATATGGACAGAGAGGTCAGCTCTGCAGAGAGAAGGCGTGGCCTCTGTTACTCAGTAAAAGTAAAGATAATGGTTTTTCTAGCATTGAGGGTCAAACCTGGCAAGATCTACTTCTGCTTTGGGCCAGGCCTTGGGCTCATCCTTAAATGCTCAGAGTCAGTTCTTCATTCTTCAAGGTTTGTTCCAATTGTCGTCATGGCCGTGGCTGACTCTTAAATATGTGAATGTTAACTAATTTCTGGCCTTTGTGTGTGGGGGGGTGGATACCAAGATTGAGGAACAGTCCTGTTTGAGTTTTTAACATTGTAGAGAAGTGGAAAGTTTCCCCTCCTCGGAGGACTTGACAACCGAGTCCATGAAATCAGCTGAAAGTAGGCAAAGTAATGGGAGAAGAGGTATCCAAGTTTATCACATGTGCAGGGGTGTCACATGACAGAAGAGTGAGCGCCTGTCATGGTTCAGATCTAGAATGTCCCTCAAAGGTCTCGTGTTCAGAATGGGGCTTTTGGGAGATGGTGGGATCACAGGAGCGCTCCGCTCCTCAGTGAATGGGCCCATTGACAAGTTCAGAGTGAATGTGCTCTTAGAAGGTGGGGCTGGCTGGAAGAGGAGCGTTACTGGGCCTCTGGTTAGAGAGTAGATCTCATACCCTGACTCCTCCTCCCTCCTTCTCTTCCGGCTGCCATGGGGTAAGCAGTTTTCTTAAGCCCTTTCTGCCTTGGATCCGGCTGACCATGGGTTAAACTCGAAAACTAGGAACCAAATGAAACCTCCCCTCCATTCAGTTGTGGGCGTCAGTGTTTGTCCCAGCAGTGCAGTCCCTGAAGACCCTGCAGGATCAGGTGCTTCCTCCCGCAGGCGAGGTCAGGATCAGTGCCGCCCCTCAGTGTGGAGTAAATGACTCTGGGAGAGGTGACTGGGCCCTCCAGGGAGCGGGTGGCAGCCTGTGACCTGGGCTGCATGGGCAGCTGGGGGCCTGCAGCCCCCTCTTCTGTACTGTGAGTTTCCCAGGTTGATGAGACTTCAGGGAGCAGATTCCAAGTTCCTTTTGGAGAGCCTGACCTTAGGCAGACAAGGGGAGCTCAGAGCAACCCTCACCAGATGCCCTGTCTGAAGTCCAAACTGGCATATTTGGGCATTGTGTTTCCTGAGCTGCTCATACGGACTACTGGAATGGTGCACATATGCACAGCAGGATGGGTGTAGTACAGGCCTCACTTGACCTAACGCCCAACTAACAAGCACTCGGTCAGTAACTAACATCCTGGCATGCCAGGGTGACCCCACCCCTTCCTAACGGTGGCCACTGCCAGAGCTTAGCTTTGCCTGTTTGTACATTTCAGGCCATAGAGTGAGTCATCTGTGCAGCTTGTCCTCTTTGTTCTTGCTTCTCCAGCTATATGTTGGTTTTGAAAGTTCTCAACGATGTTGCAGAGAATTGAGGTTTGTTCTTTCGTACTGCTGAATTCTATCGTGTGACTATTTGGGAACTTATTCACCCCTTACAGTATACCTGAATATGTGGATTGTGTCTCAGTTTTATTGATCCTGAAAAATTCTTGGGCATGCCTCTTAATGAATATATAGACACGCCTCTGGATGTGTACCCGGGAATGAAATGGCTGCCTCCTAGAATCCATCGGTGTAGGTATTGCTGAACAGTTTTCCAGAGTCACGAGGCGTGCAGTACTTTATGCTCCTGAGAGCAGTTTAAAAAAACCTGCCCCTCACCCCTCCCGGTACTGGGGCTCAAACCCAGGCCTGCACACGTTCAGTCAAGCCCTCCACCACTGAGCTACATCCCCCTTCCATTTCATTTGCAGCCTTTTAAAAAGGACAGTTTGTACACTATAAAACTCCATTTTTATAGATGTGCACCCCACTTGGTTTTAGTAAGTGTGTAGTTGTGTGACCATCGCTGTCACCCAGGTTTAGAGCCATCTTCCTGTCCTTGTCACAGATGGTGTCTCTACAGTCGGCTGTCAGTTCTTCCTCCTGACTTGAAGCCCAGGCAAGCTCAGATCTGTTTTTCTTTCACTTGATGTGGGATTTTTAGATTTCTCCATGTTGTGGCATGTATCAGGAGGCCATTCCTTTTTGTTGCTGGAGACTAGCCCTATTTGCTGTTTAATAGATTTGGTGAGATCTAACTCATGTTTACAGAGTTCATTCTTTTGAAGTATGCACTTCAGTGGTCTGTAGTACACTCCCAGCATCACAGGAGCATTACCGCTACCTGCTTTTCTCACCCCACAAGAAACTCCGTGCCCATGAGCAGTCACTAGTCCCTTCTGCCCCTCCTTTCCTAGCCCTCTCTCCCTCAGCCCCAGACAACCACTGATCTACCTTCTGTCTCTTTGGATTTATCTGTTCTGCACATTTGTTGGAAATGAATCGTAGAATGTATAAATTTTTGTCTCTGGGTTCTTTCACTTAACATACTATTTTTTTAAATTCATATGTATGTTCCATTTTATGACCAAATAATAGAGTACTGTATGAATGTACTACATCTTCATCCAAGTCTCCATTATCGGATAGTTTAAGTTTTCCCATTCTTTTGGATATTGTAATAATGCTTCTCTGGGTATTCATCTTCAGGTTTTTGTATGAACATGTTTTTCCATCTCGGGAGTACAACTGCTCACATATCGTAAGTCCAGGTTCAGTTTGATAGAACTGCCAAACTTTCCTGAAGGAGCAGCACTGTTTCCATTCCTATTGTCACCACTGATTATTGTGCATCTTTTTTTATTTTGGCCATCCTAGTAAATATGAAGCCATTCCCTCGGTACTTCTGATTTCCATTTCCATGACTAAGGACACATCTTTTTGCTTGTAAAACCACAGGACCTGAAACTCTAACTTAACTAAATGCACCTTCTTTTCTCCACAAGGAAACTGAGGCTGTCGACAGCACTGTAGACAGAAGGCCTCCCACAGATGCTCACTCTGCTCAGACAGCCAGGAGGGCATACCCCAGTGATGGCGAACCTCATAGAGATGAGCACCCCACCTGCAACCCAAACCCCACTTATGTATCACAGAGTGCCAACACTGCAATGAAACCTGGATCCTGAGGTTTTAGTTTAGAAAAAACAGGTCATACATTAACATTTTTGTCTTAAAACCACGATAACACGTGCCATAGGTTCGCCGTCCCTGGTGTAGATGGCCACTCTGAGAGGGAGAACCAGTCAAGAGGCATTGCAGAGGGGGAATGCTTTTTCTTTTCAAAGTTCTCAGCATACAAAAAGGCCTTTAAAAATAGAAGAATGTATTCTGTAATCTTTGGGTAATTCAAAAAGAACAAAGCCAGTGTGATCAGCATTCTTTGTCAGATCATCATTGGAAGCTTGCAATGCCCAAGAAAGCTATGATGTTTTATGCATTTATTGGGTTATTGTCACAGAAGAAAGAAAAATAAATGAATCATGTATGGCATGAGTTGATAAACTGTTTTGGTTAAAGCCCCGATAAATGTATTGGCTTTCCAGGCCATATGAGCACTGTGGTAACTCCAGCCCTCCCATTGTAGACTGAGGACAGCCACGGACAGTGTCTTTCAGTAAAAGTTATCTACACAAATAAGTCCAGAATAGATTTGACCTGGGAACCATACTTTACTGACTCCCTGCGCTAGGGGATGATTCAGAGTACAATGGAAAACATCATGGGCACGATGTAAGGCAAACATGTTATGCCTTCGAGTTGGTGGTAGAGCTAAGGATCTAGTTAAGTGGTAGAAGGTGTGCTTAGCATGAGAAAGGCTATGAGTTCTATCCCCACCACTAAAAAAACAAAAACAAAAAATAGTGGTAGCGCCTGTGGTTATGAATTGCTTTTCCTTCCCTCTGTAAGCCCCGTAAGGTTTATTCACTTGCTAACCAATTTCTTAGCATTTCAGCTTATTACTAGATCATCTCTCACACCAGAGTGTGACCAGAGCCCCGTGAGCAGAAGGCAGCCCCTCCATGCTCAGGACCCTTGTCTATGGCAGTAGCCGGAGTGGTTCTGTGGCGGGTGCCTGCGTGAACACCCTGCTGTAGGGAAGGTGGGACATAGTAGAGAGAGAAGATTTCATGGGCTGTCGTTTCAGTATTCTGTAACCCATCCTGGGCCCCTGGAAGAGCATTCTGTGACTAAGTGCTGAATGCTGTCTATTGTGAAGGCTTTTGAAACAGTGAACAGAGAAAGATAACTTTCCTTCCAACAACATGAAACATATGGTTTATTAATTTAACGAAACCTGTTCAGCCCGCAGTGGAATCAAAACCACTTGATCTGATAATTTGATTTGATGGCTTAATTAAAGTGACACTGTATAATATAATAAAAGCAGAGGCGATGGAAAGGACACGGGCTGCCTGAATAACCCTCCAGTCTCTTAAGCCAGTGTTGCGATTTTTGGAAAATGGTTTTTGTTTCTGTCAGTGGAGGGATCTCTTTTTAAAGTATATTTTGGATGCTGAAGATTACTTCCTGCTTTGGTTAAAACAGTTTTAAAAGACATATCCCACCATGGGAGAATGTCTGAAGCAGTCAGTTTTAAATCAGAATACATTGAGAAAGAGCATCATATTTTCCACCTAAATTAGCAAATAAAGAAGTAAATCCATGATTGCTTTAAAAAAGAGTTTGACTTTGAAATCATGGTTTTCTGCTATTTTTGGAGGAAAATATTAATGTTGTTCTATTTTCAGTTTAATCATTTCCCTTGCCAGATTAACGAGCTTGAATTACGTTATCTTATTAAAAGAAGCTCCAATGTGAACACTTAGTTCTTTTGTAGGCAGCTGGCCTCCTAGAAACTCTTCCAGAAAGTTTTCCTGTCACTTCTAGAAACTTTCAAAAGCACACCAAACTGCTAAGGAAACAAGAGAAACAAAATTTGGATGCAGCCTCCTGGGGTGTTTTTAACCCCTTTTTTTCAAAAGTAACTTTCTTTTGCCATTATATTTTAACTTTCAGAGTAGTTAAGGAGGAAGGCAAAACAGTAGCCATAGGCTTTGATTCTTGAAAGGCCCAGGTTCTCACTTTCTCAGAGTCCTGCCATGTGGTATCAGGCATTTGATGTAAATATGTAAGAGTTGAAATAGGTCACTTTTGAAGTTTCGTAGCCCTTCCTGTAGCACTGTCTCAGTCTGCTTCTGTTGCCACCCCAGAATACCAGAGTCTGGATAATTTATAAAGGAAAGGGGTATATTTTGGTTGTGGTTCTGGAGGTTGGGAAGGTGTTGCCATCCTCTTGGCTCCTGCTGACAGTTTCAGGACAGTTCACCTCGTAACAGAAAAGCAAGGAACATGTATGGAAGAGAAAGAGGACAAAGGAGCTGACTGGCCTGATAGCGGCCTGCTTTCCTGAGAGCTGATCTAGCCATAGGGGAGCCACCCAGCCCTTCATGGAGGTGGAACACTGTGATGGTGTCACCTTCAGGGCCCGCACTGCTCATCACCATGACACTGGGGACCACGCCTCCCTGTGGGGACCTTGCCTCCCTGTGAGTTCCAGAGGAGCCGGCCTGAATATTCAAACCACGGCACTGCTGGCTATTTTGGTTCCTATTTTGTGGCCAGTAAATTTCTTCCCGTGTGTTGCACGTCTTCAGCTGCCTCTGCAAAGGTGACTGAGGGCAGAAGCTGTGCCCAGAGCACCCGTGGTAGGAAGAGGTCAGAAAGGCTGTGGTGAACCAGTGCCCTGTGGCCTCTCTGTCCACGGGTGCCTAGGTGGTCCTCTGGCCACCTCCAACGGGATTCACTGTTCACTCATCAAGCACTGTGAGCAGCTGCTAGGAACAGGTTCTAGAAGTAGGGGTGAACATGGGACAGGTCCTGTATCATGGAGGGCACATGCCAAGGGGAGAAGTAAACAAGTTCATGATAAGGCTTCACCACTGTTATGAAGGAAATCAAGCAGTTGTGTGAGTGTGGGGCTGGAAGGCAGAGATTTGGAGAAGGCCATTTGCACAGGCCCTGAGGCCTAGGAGCCAGCCTGGGACCGTGAACAGAGAGTGACATCAGATGAGCCAGCCCTGGCCAAGAGCTTTCTTGGGAAGGACTGAAGATGATACTCTTCAAGCGAGGGCAGCCTTTGCTGGATGCCAGGCAGTGCTGTGGAGTGAGCTGAACATGGTCCTGTGAGCCTGCTGCCCAGGCTGTTGGGTGCACATGTCCCAGGGGACTTGCAGGAGGCTGCTGGAAGATTCCCGGATGACGGTGCCCATGGTAGAGGTAGAGGTGGGGGGTTGGAGGTGGAACAGAGCCTCCCTGAGGGGGATTTGTCAGCTGTCAGAGGATGCGTGTGGTGAGAGAGGGAAGTGCAGTCTTGTGCTTCCTCTGAACAGCTGAGTCGCCCGGCACCCCCAGCGAGCGAGGGGCTCATCCAGGGCCCCTCAGCCGAGAAGCGGCAGAGCCGAGCTGTGAGCCCAGATGCTCTGTGTCCAAGCACACCATTCTTTCCACCATTCAGAACCAAATGAACGCCTGAGTGCTGGTTGGTCTCCGTGCTTTAGATGTCATCAGGTGGCTTGAACAGCACAGCTTATTTCTTCCCTGAAAGACGGTGCTTGCGGGGATCTGGTGCTGTTAGCTTCTTAAAAGCCATCACTGGACTTGGTCTTTGCTTGGCTTTCTCTGTCTTGTCAAGGTATCGTGGGTGCCCCGGGCACAGGCCCAAGGCCCTGGTTGCAGTGTCAGCCCCTGGGAGCCCTGTCACCCACCTGACCCGGAGCATGGAGCCCCATCAACAGCAGAGCTTGTACGTTCTCAGGTCGGCAGGGCCTCCGGTTCCTAGCACATGGCAGGTGCACAGGTGTTGGCGACTGACGGGATGGTGCAGGCAGTGTTAGGGCGGGACTGTGCCAGGAACCGCACTTTCTTGTTCGCAACTCAGTGGTGGCTTCTTTGTATGCTCAGGGCACCAAGATCTGCGTGACGTGATTTTTGGAGAATGCACTTCTGAATAGAGGGGCCGTCCTTTAGGTGGGAGTATGAAGCTAGGCTCTTGGCCTTTGTTAGAACTTCTCCAGGGAAACCCATAGGTCTTAGTGGGGTCCCCAAGTTAACACTTGCACACTCCCCAGCCCTATCTCGCATCACTCGCTCGGCATCCTCCACGTCTGTCCTCAGCTCCCAGCTCTGCCTGTGGCTCTCTTTGCAGGGAGCTTTCCTGGCTGCCCTGGCCCAGCCTGGTGAGTCAGGACGACCTTACCTTTCCCAGACCACTGGTGTGGCTAGAGACTTTTTCCCTAATAACCTGCTTCTCCTTCCACCCTATAAGCTCCAGGAGGATCAAGACATTTTCTGATTTTGTGTCTCTCTCGTTGGAAAGAGGTACTATGATTTCTGTTGGCTCCTCAGTAAATACTGGATTGGATGGATGGGCGTGCAGATGGATGGATGGATTATTAAGCTAATGCTTGTATCTGGGTGGTCAGGACTAGAAGATTCTTGCCACAGGAGTTGGCGCAGTTGGGGCAGCTACAACCTAGCCAGGCCGGGTGTTCTTAGGGGTACACAGCCAGGCATTGTGAGTAAGGTTCCCCATCATTCCTTGTACCTGAAATCAGGCTCCTGGTATTTGAGAAACCATCTTCCACTCTGACCAAAAGCCACTTTGGATGGAGGCCTTCATTTAAAGAGAGAGAGAGAGCACTTTCTCTGCTGTCCCTAGGCGTGGCTTAAGAGCAGAGCATGGAGAGCTCAGAGCAGCAGGCAGTTGGCCGGTCGTGTTCCCACCTTATAAATATTACCTTCTTACTTCCTCTCCATCTCCAGGCAGGTAGGAGGTTTGATCTTCAAAGCTGACTTAACAGCTGTCCCATAGCTTCTGCCTTGCCTTGCTCACCAGAAAAGTCTTCTCTGACATTGGATTCATTTGTGCAGGCACCGTGGTGCTTGTGGGCAGCAATGGGAGCTGATAAAGGCCAGCAGCTCGCTTCCCCTGGCTTGCTAAATGGCGCTTAGATCTCCTTGGAGCCCCAGAGGCCTGGAGCCAGGGGACAAGGCTGCTTCTCTTCACTTCTCCTCGCCATTCTTCCACCAATGGCTCCTCCAGCCAGCACGGGCGGATGAGGCGGGTTTCGTCAAGTGCAGTCCAGGAATAGGAATGGAACCCTTGCCTTGCCCTGGCCTAAGACGCAGTCACCTCCCCTGCCGGAGGACCCAGGACAGCTGTGGGGTGGGGCTCTCTTCTCCCTTTCTGCACACAGCCAGTGTCATTATGGCTGCCGGCTCCACTCCTGGGCCACTCTGACGGGCATGGACCAAATCGCGTGTGTTGGCTGTCACGTTTAGGTCTCCACCTACACTGGGCAGGCACCACCTGGATGTCTGATGCTCAGCGCTGTCGGGTGCTACCGAGTGCCCAGAGATGGACGGGCAGTGTCTGTGCCTCTGGGCTGGCACCGGGAAAGGCTCCCGGGAAGAGGCTTTTCACTGAGGAGCGTGCTGACCATTTAAACTGCTGGGCCTCATCTGCCAACTGTGAAGGCCCAAGCGCCTCCAGGCATACGGACCTGTGCTGAGGTGGCCAAGCTGCTGCTACAGCGTCCTAACTTCAAAATTAGTGGTTTCTAGAAGGGCCCACCAGGGGGCGCTGCCAACTCGCAGCCTGGTCTCTCCCCGGGCAAATGGAGCTTCTCTGGAGCCCTGGACCCAGCCCGGTCCAGGAATCTAAGAGCAGTAAAGGTGTGGGAGACACTAAAGTCACACTGAGTAGGGCCGGCCTTACCAAGAGGCCAATTGAGTCAGATGCCACATCCGGGGATTTCACCCCCCCCCCCTTGCTGGAACTGAGGATGCGTCAGGGCGGCAGGCGGCGAGGAAGCACAGCTGATCACAGCTGATCACAGCTGCACATCAGGCAAGAGGCAAGGACTCCTTTCCAGTATAGTGGGTGTCCAGCCTATTCGTGGGAGATAAATTTTAAGAACCGAATGGAAAACCAACGAGGGCACCTCAGCCAACTCCGTTCTGATCATCTGAAGTAAGTTATGTAAAAGAAGCCTAGCCAAGTGTGTCAGTGCAGGTAACTGACTCCTGTGGCTGTTGGGATCACTGATGAAGCCAGCTCATGGCCTCCTAGCTCTTGGATAGTGCTTAGCTCGGTCTTGCATTGCTAAGGGCGGCTTTAGGGCTCTATTAGTGACCCAGCTGCTTCTTCAGAGCTGCAGCACCATCTCAGCAGTGAGAAATGTGAGACTTGGCCATAGCAAACCCCACTGCAATTCCAGGGCCTGGGCATTTGCCTCCCTTCACCGGCGGCTTCGTCTCCGGTCCAGACCTCTGTTGGAGCCCATGACTGGAGGCAGAGGGGAGACGGGAAGTGAAGAGGCACCACACAGAAAGGGTACTGAGCTGCATCAAGGTGAGACCAGTCCCTCAGCTCCCTTGGCAGGAAATGACAGTATCCTCACACTAAAGGGAGGAAGGGCACCTAAGTGTGGAATCCGGCCTCCAGCCAGAGTCCAAGATGCAGTTGTCACCAAGAGGGGCTGGAAGATGCATCATTCTGGACTTTGCCACCTCCCTCAGTGCTGAGCCAAACAGTGCCTTTTCCTGCACAGGATGTGGACCCCGTGGCCTTTAGCTCTCGGAAGAAGAGGAACATCATGTGAAGAAAGGACTCCAGGGAGGCAGGAAAGGACAAGAATAGCAAGATGGGGAAAGTCCAAACCTTGCTTCTGTCCTTGGAGATCTGAACTTCTGTCTGCTTCCCTGGGCACTGCCGCTTGTCACTGCTGGGGTGCTTTCCTGCATGTAGAGCTCTGTCACGTGCTCGGCAGTCCGTGTTTTCATCTGCTCTCCTCCATGGTCACTGTGACACAGCGTTCAGTATGCACTTGTTTGCTGAGAAGCTGATTTATAATTCATGGCTTATTCACAGAATGGAGGAAATGCCATTGCATGGTGTAGAAAAGAAGTGCACAGTCTATAACTTACATCAATTCTGACATCGTAGGTTTGAAACTTGAAAGCTGTTGACTGGGGCTTGCCTGAACTCAGAGCAGCTGTAACTGGGGTCTTCCAAACCCCAGGGTGGCCCCTGGAGTCAGACCCACCCTGGAACAGACCCCAGCTCAGCACTTACTAGCTGTGAGGCCTGGTCTCCAAGCAGCAACTTCTTCCTCCTCCTCTGCTGCCAGCTACACCTGTGTTCTTTGCAGTTTCCCCTCTGCAGGGCCTTTGCACAGTCTACTTTTTGGTCTGACACCCAGGCCTCCTGCCTTCCTGCCCACTGCATACATAACTGCTTCTTGTTCAGATTTCAGTTCAAATCCCCCTCTGTTCAGTGAGTGTTAAACCATCACACAGACCTTGAAAGTATGCATCTCTTCGTGCTAGGAATGTGTTACCTGAGCAGTACCACAGACCTCTTTCATCCCCTGGAGGATCCCCCGGGCCTCCTCTTATGGTCAGACTTGTAGATGCATAAAAAATACAATTGATTATGCAGGAAGCCAGTTATCCTTAGGTATTATCAGAATATTGTAAGGTGTGATATACTATTTTATCCACTTCTTGATGAAGGCATTTAAATTAGAAGGTCTGGCAGCAGCTCTAATAATCCCTAGACTTAGCAATAGGTAGCCTCACAGAGGTCCTGCTAATAAACCAGGTTTGTTGACAGCATTCAAGATGTAAGGAAATGGCACCTTTCAGTGAGAGGCTGGTGAGAATAGCAGGGTACTTTTCCCCACCCCAGTGAACAGACTTCTCTCCCCAGAGGCTCTGCGGGGCTCCAGGTTAAGAACTCTGATTTAGGAGAATTAAGGGGTTAATGTCTTTTCCCCTCCTGGGCCATCTTCTCCAGGAGATCAGAGACCATGCCAACCTCTACCCCATGTCAGGCCCTTTGTGCACAGCTACATAAACATCCAGCAGTGATAACTACTCCTGGCAGCACTCTTCCAGAATGTTTGTGTGCTCTTCTAAAGCGTTTTATCCATTCACTCCAGAAACTGTTACTCGGCCATTATCCCAGACACAGCTGGCTTTATCTAGAACCAAAGCATTCCGACCCCAGAGTGAACAACAGAATGGATGACCTTCTTAGATCTCGGTCTCTAAAACTAGGGTGAGGACGGGGGCAGCAACCCTGCAGAGTTACAGTAGGAGTCGTGACAGGGTTTGTGACTGGCACCAGCTCAGCGCAGGCCAGTCGCCGGCTGGGGCTTGTCACTACTCACGCACCACACAGAATGGCACAGAGGAGAGGTGTTGGGTGCCCAGTGTCACCCTGCTAGTCGCCAGCACCCCCAGGATGGCTGAGGGACCATGCACTCTGGATACATTTCTGATGGAAGAAGAATCACGATCGGGCTGTGCCCCGTTTTACAGAGACTCAAAGGAGAGGGAGGGTGCTCCAGGAGTCATCGAGAGACTCCTGTGCTGTGGTTTGTTATTGAGAAGGAAAGCACAGAGGTGAGGGGAGAGGCAAGGAATAGAGGGGTGGGAGGAAGCTCTTCGCTGGAAGGATGTTACCCATGAGAAAGCCACTGTCCTGGGGCTCCGGGATGCTGGTGGTGCCTGTGTGGGACGTCCACACCCTTTGGGAGCTGGGCTAACCCTTGCTGTCCTCATGACCACAGTACAGGGGAAGGACACATGGGAAGTGTATGAAGGGAACACACTCCGGTTCCAGTTCTGCACCCCTCCGCTCTGGGCTCGGCCCAGTGACTGGTCCCCTGGTCCCCAGGGTCCTCAGCCTGAACGCAGAAGATAACCAAGCCCACTTGTAGGCCTCAGTATCATGTGCCTGGGTGATTGGAGATATCCCACACCTGCCAGCTGCAGCTCTGACTCAACAGCATCTGGAAGTTGTGAAGTCTAGAAAACTGCCGAAGCCGGGGTCCAGCCCTGAGTCCCTCTGTGTGGTTCTGGCACTTTCCTCCGAGCTGTTTGCCCTTCACAGCTCTTGGCAGGGATGGGGGGCAGCAGTCCAGAGCCCCGTGATTCCAGGTGTGCAGCCCCGCGGTCCACTGAGGCATGCAGTGTGTACCCGGACCACTTTGATACAGGGCTTCAGAAGGCGCACTCTTCCGCCAGGGGCGTGTCTGCGCATTGCTTCCTTCAAGAACTGATGTTCACAGGCTCCGGGGCCAACAAGGGCCATGGGAATGATAGGCATTTAAGCAGTCTGTCCTCTAACTGGTCCTCCTGCTTTCAGGAGGTTGTTCCCGCTGGTCAC